TTTTTTTTTTTTTTTTTTTTTTTTTTAGTACCAGGGATTAGACACGGGTCCTTGCACTTGCAAGGCAGGTGGCAGAACCACTGAGCCAAATCCCCAGCTTGTTCTCAATTCTTAAGTGGGCTAAGTAACAATGCCCATTTTAAAAGGTGATTGTGTGAAGGGATATTCTAAGGGCGTAAACACTCAGCACTGGGCTTGGTGCAGTTAAGAACACAAAACTTCCCCTACCTATGTGAAAATAAAGTTAATTTTGGTAGTTGTCATCAATCATACCTAATAAGGGCCAGACAGAGGACAGTCTATAATTAGATAATCACCACATTTAATTGTATTTAAAATATACCTAGGCAAAAGTGGCTTAAAAAAGATTCACAAGTGGCTAAAAAAGATTCACAAGTAGATGAACTAGAAAGTCACCCTAAATAAAAAATAACGTGGGTCCAGCTCTTTGTTACCTGAAAAGAAATCAATGTACCTCTCTACAAACTTCAATTTAACCACAGATTCCAAAAGAAGATACTAAAGTTACAGGATCTACTGTGTTACAGGTTGTGTCTACCTGATCCCCCAAAGCCTCATGTGCTCACAGGTGAGAGTTTTGGAAAGTGTCTGGGATGTGGGGTGTATGAGACTGGGATTAAATTGTGAGGCTGGGGTTAAATTGTGATGCTGAGATTAAGGGGGTGTGATTACAAAACTAGCCCACTGACTGGTTTAACATAGTTCTGAGTATAGATAATGGTAGGACAGCCCACTTGGGGTGTGAGTGGCACTACTCAAAAGGTGAGTAGCCTGGATGGATGTAAAGGGACAGAAAGGAAGCAGACTTGCTGCCTTCTGCCTGCCCTGCTATGCACTGACTTTTTCCTCCTCTTCATGCCGCTCTGCTATGCCACCCTACTTTAGAGCCAGTTGATTCTGGACTGAAACCACTGTGAGCTAAACAAACATTTCCTCCTTTAACATCAGGTGTCAGGTATTTTGTCCCAGCAACAAGAAAAGTAACTAAGACATACTGACCAGATCTACTAAATTTAATTTCAATTCCATAAATAAAAAGAATTGTTGGAGTCATTTCCCTCTGAAGTCATTCATTCCAAATAAGCATAATTATGATTGAACTTAGACATTTTGCATTTCGTATAATAAAAATATAAAACCCTCCAAAACGATAACAGACTACTGTTAGCTTAAATCCTGGGTAGTTGTTTCTTACCTTAAACGATCTAGAAAATTACCAGCCAAAATTCTATTCAGCTTTCAATGAAATCACGACGAACATTTTCTAAGCCAAAATTCTATTCAGCTTTCAATGAAATCACGACGAACATTTTCTGAGCATTGCCCACCTTCCAGTTCAGGACTCTGCAGCCCATGAGGAAAGCTGCACTAACTGGACTGTTGAAGTCACAGGCAGGCAGGCCTGGCCCAGAATGCGTTAACAATGCACATACAACTGGCTCGCTCCGTTTGAGAAATGACCCAGCCAGGATCTAAGGACCGCGTGTATTTCATAACTACCACGAACTAAAATATTATCACTCCCATTTTACAGTTGGGCTCAGGGGATCGAGGCCCTCGCCAAGGTCACACTCCCGATCCGTGGCGATGCCACGACTCAGACACAAGAGGCCCTTTGCTTTCTCCCAGAGACCAAGCTCCTCCAATACGCGGCTCCGCTCGCGCCCCGGAAGCGCAGCCCGGAAAC